TAGTAACTGAAACTGAACCAATGTCTTGCATGGCTAAATTCATCAGGAAGAAGTACATGGGTGTGTGAAGGTGATGGTCACAAATAACAGCAGTGATGATGAGAAGGTTCCCTGTTATGGTCATTAAATACAGTATCAGTAGTATAACTATGTGCATAACCTGTAGCTCCCAAATTTTTGAGAATTCCAAGAGAAGAAACTTAGAAGTGTCATTATCCATTCTTAATAACTAAACCTCTAGATGAAAAAGGAAAAAGAATTGTTAAAATATTTCCTATTCATTAATGTTTGGAGTGATTTGGAAAGTACTGGATTAACATTTAGTGAAAGTTATATTAAAACTTGGTTCTCCAAATTTATTAAAACATTCTGAGTGATAGCATTATGTAATTTTGTTTGCTTAAAGTTCAGGAAGAATCTGATGACTCTTACAGATATTTAATCACTGTCAAGTCTTATGGCATTATTTTATAGTCTTGAGCTTAGAGATATTTGAGTTTCTTTGTTTAATAGCATTTTCTAACACTACTTTCATCAAAACTGGGAGTCTTGAGCAAACAGATCGTTTTTATCAAGTCAGATAAAAGCTGCTGGAAGTTGGATTTGAATCCAGGTATATTCAACCATATCAATGTGACATATTAGAAGTTGTTATCTCCCTCCTTCCCTTTCCCTTTCTTTCTTTTCTTTTTTTTCCCCCCCCCCAAACAGTTTCTTCATCTTTAACTGGTATAGTTCAGGCAAGTATAATATACTACTGTTATTTCAATGTACCATTAATACACAAATACTTATTTTCATAGAATGAGCTTTGATTTTTTACAGGAATCGCTCTGGAGTTATATACTTGAGTTCTGTAAATTCAGCCTGACTCAGAATTACCATCTCTGCTAAACTCCTTTCTTTTATTGTTATAGAAATATTGGCCACATTTAATTATTTTGGCAAGCATGGATGGAGATAATTGTTTTTGTTTCATTATTTTTTAAGGCATCCTTTTAAAGTTTCTTGATAAATGGTCCTCAATGAACTGCAGGATTTGAATTATGGCATTCATTTTTTTTTTTTAATCCTTTCAATCACCTTCTCATCTCTACCTTCTTCTACACAAAATGAGAATTGTAAAGAATGGTTTCAAATCAGAGCCTTCAATTCTATATGACAACTTAATTTGAATTAAGAACTCTATGTGATCACCTTGTTTAGAAAGTGAACAAAAGTGTTTTCAAAGAGTCCAATTTAGATATTTATACAGCCCTAGGTTGTATATATATAATAGTGTGTGTGTGTGTGTGTGTGTGTGTGTGTAATAGGATATATTAAAAATTAAAATAAGGGCATATTGAAAGTGGTTAAAGGAAAATAAATTGAAATAAAATTAGAGGAAGCCTTGGTAAACGTCCAAAGTCAGCCAAATCTCAGCCTGTAAACTGAATAAATGAAGAATATCTGTATGATAACTGAAGGTGGGGGTGAGAACTGTGGGGAAAGGAATTCCTTTCTTTGTTGTCACTTGATTAATTTAAGATGTATTAAGTTCTAATACTGTTTATTTTCGTCTCTCTCCTTAAATAAAAGTGCCCAAAGAATCATTTCTCTATAGGCAGCTAACATTTATATTATAATCTGTATTTTGTTGGAATTGTAATTGCAAAGCAAAGGGAAGGGAAGGAAAGGAAAGACTTATGGAAGAGAGGGAGAAATAATGGATAATTCCAAATAAAAATAAGTCAGTGACTCACCATCTTAATCCATGTTTATTTAAGCAGATGTCTTTATTTTTTTCTTACTGTCTTTCTAAAGCCACCGATAAAATTTTATGCTGTGTAGTATTTAAGTGAGAGTTCATCTAATTTTTCTTGCCATTTCCCCAAAGATTTTTTTTTTTAATACACAATATTAAAAAGTCTCTGTGGAATAGATTTTTCAAAAGCAAGAGGACTCTATAGGACATTGCCCAAGGGTCTGGGTTATTTTAATGGTGGGGGTCAGAACTAATTTATAGGCTCAGTATTTTTTTTTTTTTAAAAGAGTACTAATTCTGACTATCAATTTTTAAGTGATGAAAATCTAAAATGTTTCAATTTTATAGTGCTTTATTATTAGGTTAAGGATGACATGTTATCAACTCCTTCCATCATTTATTTTGGTTTTATGGGGTGGGAAGTTCAACTTCAGCATAATTACTGTTACTTAATACTCAGAAGAATTTTGTTGCTATTCATGCAGCATATTGTCCAATTGTGAATGGTGGTGTCAGGATGAATTCCTTTGCTTTGGGGGAGGGAGAAGGCAGGGAGGGGAACCTGGCTGGTGACAGGGGGGACAGGGCAAGGGAAAGCATTGTGGTAGTTAGAGACATGGGGAGATAAGGAGGGAGACTGGTGGAAGGCCACTTTCAGGGAAGGCGCCCCTGGTGTTTAAGATGAATATTACATTCTGGCCCCTATGCTCATCCCTGAGACCTGATTTCCAGAGCTTTGGTGGCTTTGAATTCCAACTGTTGCTACTTAATGCCAGGTAGTCCTGTAATAAAGCCCCCTAACCCATGATCTGATTGTAGATGAGAGGGCTGATCTGGCCTGCATCACTGAAACTTGGCTGGGCACTGGGGGGGGGAGTGTTCCCCTCTCTGAAATGTGCCCTCCTGGGTTTTGAGTGTGGCACCAATTGTGACTCCAGGGCAGTGGAGTGGTGTGGCTGTTGTTATTTGTGAGTCTTTGATGACCACTAGAGGCCCTGCCCCAAGCATTGCCGGATATGAGACCTTCTTTGTGAGTTTGGGATGTAGGGATTATTGGGGATTGCTGCTCACTCACCTTCCTCCCTGCAGTGTAGCAACATCCCTGCCTGTGCTCCTGGACTCTGTGACTGGGTTGGCAGTGGAGTTCCTGAGGCTTCAACTTGTCTTCTCTTATCTGAGAACTTGTCTGAGGTAGCACAGGAGTTCATGGCCTGGTCCAACTTATTCATGATCCTATCCACACAGAAGATCACACATTAAATTTGGTGTTTGCCTTGG